TTCCTGACAAAAACGTGACATGTCGAAACGTGTGTAATCTGATCTGGAACAAAACGGATTTTCCAAATGTTCAAACTGGATGCCAAAATTAAAGTTAGAATATCATTAGTTCATCACTTACATGGGTGCGTAGTTTTCAACAAAATAATCTTCACAATAATTGCTTCCTACAAATACTTTATTTGAAAGTTGTCAGTTCAGATGGTTTGAATAACATTCGATCGATTTTCAGGAGACAAAATGGTTGAACAGTTTAGCAAATAGGACTAGAAAAGTTTTGAATACAGACCTTAATTAAACTGGATCGAAGTATGCTTTGTTTCCTTTATGACAAACTTTTTAACAGAAAAAATATGAATCTGCTGAACCTCATTGCTTTAGCCATCACAAAAAATGCCTCCCTATCCCACTGAATCATATTTTTTCAATTCTGTGGATGATACAATCCATTAAAGAATCAACCATTGCAGTTTTACTTAACCGAAATTTCTCTAGCCTCGTTGCAAGCTTGTCCAATACGACGCTGGAGCGAAATCAGGAAATGGATCTGTAGAAGTTCATTGAAATTAAGAATGAAAATTTCTGTTTCTTTACCGGTGTGACATTCTTTTCAAAACAAATGACCGTTCGGGCTGAACCGCGTTTAAACTTTATTAAAACAGAGGAAGATGTAAAATGCGTTGTTATGTCTGAAAATAAAGACCTACATATGATTGAGGGCTAAAACGAAAAAGAACGAGTACAACCATGTTTGTATAAATGTTGTTGGGGTCCCCAGGAATTACTCTGTACATTTTCATGAACTAGCGATTCCTCTGCCTTTCGGTTGTTCATCTCCTGCCTTCTTTCCCAGACTTTTCATAGCTGATCTTCATTAGCTTCTCTTATCCAATGGGCGGGTTACATTGATTTTGAAGTGCTTGACAAAGAACTAGTAAAAGGCATCCTTAAAGCGTCCCTATGTCCATGCACTGATGTTCCATCTAGCTGCATTCCCCGGGCCATGGGCATTGTATAACCGAATATCTTGGCAGAGATCAAAATGAATTAACACCCTCCATCGCACAGAGCTGAGGTGCAATTCAGTCTATCCTGATTTCGATCACATGATGATATGCCCATCGTTATTTACTGATCGATGGCATAAACAGTTGTTTAATTAGCGTGAGGTTTAAGTCATAATAAGGAATTTCACTTTTGTATTGAAAGATATGGTTATACACCGTATATTAAAGTAATAAAATACATTCGCTCAGATTCACCGACGTAACACAAGGTTTGAAAAGAAAACGGAGAGCTCTAGAACATAACTTCTAGCCTGATCTAATATGTCAGTTTGTTTGTAGGCTGTTAGGCGCGTGAAAGCTATCCATAAAAAGCACAACGTGCAATTTTCATGAACTCATAAACTGGTTCAGTATAATCAACAGAATATACATACCGTATGTTCTTTATATCTGTTCTAAGAAAGTAAAATAAGGTTAAAAATATGGTCAATTATTGGCTAGCATCAAATTAAAATGAACATAAAATTTATAGTACTTACGCTGATTTGACAGCTCACATTAAATGCGCTTCTGTCTATTTATCACACTCAACTGTAAGAGGGAAAGGAGTGTATTCTTCATCCATTTGTTTAGCATCTTTCTAAACAACATGGGAGCTACCATTTTATACAGATAGAATCCACAAAAATGTTGACGTGCAGGAAAGTAAGCATCTCGGATAAATCTGGCCAGAAAATTTAAGGGACAAGAGGAGTTAGTCTACCTAAATCAGTCGAATTACAGGAATCATAAATATACGTCATTATTATTACTTACATGGCAACATCTCACGCTTTCGATGTGGTAAATCCAAGAACGCGGCAGAGTTCGTCGTCGTTCAACGACACCGGTGAATACTAATGTCATGTTCGCTGTTTAAAATGAAATAAGTGCTATTTACAATAAATAGACCATCCAGTGCTGATGGCGACCATTCGTCCCAAATTTCGTCCGTTTATAATTTCAGTTTTTAGCAAGTTCCTCACGGTATTAAGGGTGTTAGTGGGTCAATGGCAACGTGGCACATGGTTTCCCTTTCGCCAAAATCGTTTTTATGTCGCCCATGCACTTGAACAAAGCTTTAGGTGACTTATTTCATGATCAGACACGATACGTTCACATGGGTCGTATGAGCGATTGCCATTCGTCCGGTGCGGACAAGACGAAACGAACTGAAATAGACATGTCTGTAACATTGCATGAAAAATCAAGGGCCCCCTGCACGATGAGCGGCTTCTGGCTAGTACTGTACGGAATACTGTAGCAGTCGCCGTAAGTGATCACCGAATAGCAGCTACGCGTGCTCCCAACAACACTGCGGGTTGCGGTAGTAGGTTGTTGCAGAAGTTGCAGCAATATGTGTATATGCACTTGCAGTGTACAATCGATGAAACTCGGAGTCCAACTGTGTCAGCACCCACGCACTGGCTTAGATCTCGGCGACGTGCTGCTATTCGTTGGGGCCAAAAACTTTTGCAAGATTTGTCCTCGCACATCGTGTGTATGTATGTTTCAAGGACTGTAGACGATGCGTCATCACCGGCCGGGAAAGAAGACGCGAAAGAAATGGGGAAGAACAAAAGAAAATTTACGGTACTAGGCCGCGGATGCGCAACATCGGCGGCATGGCAGTAAAGGCAGAGGCGGGACAGCGGTGGCGGTGGTGGCCGCAGTTGGTAACTGTAAGTTGGTCGTCGTCGTCATCGGGCCGGTGAAAAACTTGCACTTTGTCATTGTCACCGTTCTGTTCGGCTGTGCTCTTCAACTGCAGGTAGCATATTAAACCTGACCTGATTTCCTGAGGCTATTCCATCCGGATGCCGCTGCGGCGCGAGCGACGCGAACGAACGACCGGGACGACGACGTTCCACGTCAGGTGATGCATTCAGCGCTTTCGGCTGCTGACGATGTCGTCGTTGCGACCAATCATTCGTCAATAACAACAAAGTAGCAGAGATTATTTGGGACGAAATTTCGTTTGCCCTGCGTTTGCGCACAGTAGAAGTTTAGGCGGGCCGACGATACACACCGAACACGTCGACAACGTCGACAAACGACGACAACGACGACCACTGGTGCACAGCCGGAACGAAACTTAGCTGAGCTGCACGGATCGAATCGGGTCGGATCGGATCGGATCGAGAGAAATTGGAGCCAAACAAATCGTGTCCACTGCCAAAACCGGTGACCGACTGACTGACCGACGGACGGTTCGACCAACCGACCGACCGCCTGCGTGGTACTTGGCTGACTGACGGACGGTCACTGTCATCGTCGCCGCCACACTCCTTTGCTCACAGTACTTCGCGACCTCTTCTTCTTCTTCTTCGTCGTCGTCGTCGTCGTCGTCGTCGCCGCCGCCGCCGCAGGAACCGACCCACCGACCTACCACCGGCTGGGGTGGCCTATCGTTTGTTGTCTGTCCCAGAATTTAGACGACGACCGG